CAGCAGTGACACTAGCGGAGTATCAACTGTCGTGTGTGCATGCAGACATACGCAAAAATCCCATGCCTGACGCATCCCTTAATTCAAGTCAATTACATTTTATTACAGTGCCAAATCACAACAACAGTCGCACCACTTGTGCAACAGAAGGGCTAGACTCAATTTCCACCAGCAGATAAAGGGCTTGTATCACTCCCTCCTTCGTGGTGAGCGGGGGGCGCTGACTATGAGGTGGTACAATCAGACAGGGGAGGAGCCCCACAGATATATCACCTCAAACTCCTCCAAGCATGGAGAGAGGCTGAAACTGCTACAATGGTGAGCCTGGTGAACAAAAGAGGTGAGTTGGGGCTGGAGGTGCCAAATTCCAACATTTCCGTCTCAAAAAATAGCCATCGTATCCTGGTGAGACAGTTCTTGGGGCTGGCTGGTTACTACCATCGGTTTGTGCCTGGCTTTGTGGACCCGATCATTTCCTTGATTGATCTCACCCGAAAGGAAGCCCCAGAACTGGTCCAGTGGCTATAGCAGTGCGAGGGGGTGGTCGTACAGATAAACAAACCCCTGCTTCACACTCCTAACTTGTCTCTCCCTTTTATTCAGCTTCAAACGGAGGGCTGGGGGTAGTTTTGTCCCAGTAGGTAAAGAAGGGCCCGACCGCCCAGTTGTATACATCACCAGGAAACGGAACAGGAGGCCAAGTACAGCACGGTGGAGAAGGAGTGCCTGAGGAGGGTCGACTCCCTCTTCAAAGGCTAAGCTGGATGGCGCCCTGAGTCGGGCAATGGGGGTATGAGGTGGCAGGAGTAAAGAAGCAGGTTCAGGTTGTTGTGTCAGGGGAGGCTGGCCCACAAAGCTGTTCTCCATCACCTGACCATGCCTGCCCTACTTCAGTAGGATACTGGGACCTGATGGGAGAGCTGTGCCGCATGGAATGAGGCAGCTGGAAAGCTGCATGAGCAAGAAACAAATCGTAAATAAAGTCAGTCAGGTGTCCATAACACTGTGGGCTTCAGGTCCTTTCTACCACATGGGCCTTTCAGGGAATGTGCTGTCAATTAAAAAAAATACTGGCAGCTTCCATTGCTTCTTTATTGCTTCGTTCTGAAGTCATTGCCTTCACAAACTTGCTTGTTCACTCTGCCCGCCCAGTGGGGTGACCCAAAAACAAACACACTCCAAAGCAAAACCGGAAATAGCCTACCATCAAAGCCTACATGGGGCTGGGAAAGCTATCCTGTCTGTATGGATGCCAAATTACACTTGTGTCTTCATTGTATATATGGGGTTTATATAGTGCACAGCAGCAGTACGATTTCACCAGAGGCTCTGCTACTCTTTCAGATAAAGATCGAGCATCTCAAGCAATCCGTCTAACCTGGACAGACACTCTTTGCTGTCAGTCGTGTTATTCAGTTTGTGGTGGACCACCGCACCCACTGCCAGAGGCCCCGCGTCACCACATAGAAATGTCACTTTGCGCCCATTCAGGATCCTCATGGTCCTCTTTACGTAGTCTAGGGCTCTATGCAGGTAGGAGGCCTCATTTGAGACCCGGTGCAGTTGAAGGTACAGCAATGCAATGCCTGCAGTGAAAAGAAAAGACACAGTTAGGTCCATAAGTATTTGGACAATGACTGCACACCACCACTGTGGATTTTAAATCAAACAGTCTAGATGTGACTGAGTAGCAACTTTGAGTTTTAATTCAGATGTGTTCCACTAACCACAGACATTTTTGTACGTAGTCCCTAATTTTCAGTTACAGGACAAATGTAAGCCCTGTTCTTAACGCTTGGATGATTTTATTTTTTTTTGCAGCCAGTGACTGCCCGAAGTCTAGAAATCACCAAACGTGCCACCAAACACTGCAGCACATCCTCTCTCTGGCTCCAGTTTTATCTTCATTAACTAAAACGCTCTCTCTACTGTAAATCATGTAAACCATAGATAAGGTCAATGATTTACATCTGGTAATTACTGATTTTTTTATTTGCCTTAATAAACTCTTGTGTTGCTTTTGAAAAATATTTTGGGTCATTATTAATTTGAACTTTAGACTAAACCTCTAAACTTTTCTCTGTAAATGGGGGACTATGTACAAAAAATATCTGCAATTCCTTTATTGCAATACTTTTGTTAAATCCCTAAATCAAAGTTCAAGGTCTGCATTTCAGTTCAGTGTTAACTGTTAATTTAATATCTATTAATTGTGTACAGAGAGAACATTAGTGTTTGTCGTTGTCCAAACACTTATGGACCTAAGCGTATAAAATAGAGAATATTTTTGGGTGGATGGATAACAGAACTGTGCTCTCTTCACATTTTTAGAGTAGTCAGGGACAGACCTGTCCAGCCGGTGTAGGTGGAGAAGTCATGGGGGTCGGCTGTCTTTAGGCCTTCCTCCATCTGCTGGAGGAGATCTTTGATCTTACTCTGGACCTTCTTCTGAAAGGATGTGCTAACCTGAAGAGAGAATACATTTATAAACTCCAAGTTGTCAGACTCAAGAGCTGCACTATCCATCAGCTATAAAGCTAAATGCTGATTCTGTGGTAGCACAGATGGAACAACAGAGGAGGGAGGGAGCAGCAGGAAGTTAAGTAACATGCACTGGGAGACAGAATCATATTTAAGCTTGTTTATACACAGCAATGAGTTAGGCCGTCTTGAGTCAAGGACATAAATGTATGGGTATCGGCTTTTGCTGAGTACTGATTTGATACGAATCGCAGAGACTGGGACAGTAAAGAAACATTAGGCTGGACATAAACATTGCTTTCCTGATGCTGTAAAAGAAAATGGAACAAATAAATGTACCAAGATCATACATTTACATTTACTGAATTTGAATGTCTTGGTAAAATAAATAAAATGAGAAGTGAAAAAAAACCAGTATGTTGTTCAGCTTAGTTTCATTTCAGATGAGTAACTTTTTATTTTGAATATGCTCACAGGAAGCTCGCCTTGGAGGACCACCATCAAAGCTTCATAGGGGATCGGATGACTAGCCGTTCGCCTATGCCAGGCAGTGACACGGTGTCCAGGTGGCTGTGGCCCAGCCCTGAGGAGGGGAAGGAGCACCTGGTTGGTGCTTAAGCAGTTTGTGAAGAGGCTCCCAGCCAGAATGGCAGAGTGGATGCGTCGCCACCAGCCCACAAGATTGGACCCAGCAGTGACACTAGCGGAGTATCAACTGTCGTGTGTGCATGCAGACATACGCAAAAATCCCATGCCTGACGCATCCCTTAATTCAAGTCAATTA